CCAAACACTTAGGCCATCTTCCACTGCTTTCCCAGGCCATCTTCAGGGAGCTGGATCCTGTATGGGAGCCAGTTTCACAGGTGGAGGCTTAATCTATGCCACAATGCCAGCCCCACTTTTTCCTTTATAAACTCTCAGTTTTGTATATTTTAGTTTAATGTTGATACCAATGACACCATCTTAACTTTTATGATAGTCATATCTAGTTTCCTTGTTGCCAGGACAAGCTTGTCCTGGTTTCTGGAGTGGTCTGGTCTCATGTTGGAGTGGAAACAATGGACAAGCCAAGAGTCAGTGCTATAATTTGAGCAACAAAGGGGTTCTAGCACTAGAGTTCCTTAGGCAAAGTTTATCTGAAGTCCATTGTTAAAATTAACTTTATCAAAATTAACTGTCAGTTTTGTGGGCAAGAGCCATCATCTCAAGGTGCCTGGTTAGCATTTATTTTACTGGGAATTGTACTTCTGTAGAATTCTAACAGGCAATAGGCATAATGTTCAAAAGGGAGAATGCAGAACAAATCAACAAGAGTATGAAGGGGTATGAAAAATCATGGTTACATTTTAAAAACAAGGAACAGTGTTATAATCTTATAACAGCCATATTATAGCTGACTGCTTGTATAAGTATAGCAAGAAAAGTTCATTTACCATATAGTGTCATCTCAGTTTCAGAAAACTCAGTTAGCAACCTTAACCATGACAGATTTAGATTTTTAAAACCACCATATGTAATCTTTTGAGTTTTAGGACCTAATAAGAAATGGCAATCTTACTCATTGAAAAGCTGAGAGCCACTGAAGATCAGCATTCTGTGTATATTTTTGGATATGTCAGTGTTTTAAATTGTATTCTGTTATGAAAGAGCAGATATTTAATGGATTTCTGCAAGTAATCACATTGTCATAAAAAACAAAAATTCTCATAAGTAGCTTTTAAATTTTCGAAGAATTTAGTAGGGATAAAAGATAAATGCTTTTATCTTTGTTTGCAAAGACATACTTTACCAAAGAGCCTCAGAAAATTCTTTAAGCCTAAAAGACAAAACATTTAAGTATAGAACTAACAATTTTTTAAGTAAAAGACATAGAAATCCAAAAATTTTATCAACTCTTTACATCTAATGTAATTACTTCTTGACTTGTTTGATCTCCATTAGCAGTTTTGTGAATCTGTCACTTAGTATATCAGAATTACTGAAATTTTAGGTAGTCCATTTCTTTTGTCAGAATCTGAGTTTATAAATATTTATTGGACTCTTCTGTGATTGTTTTCCAGAGAAGAGCCAGAATTGTGAATGACAAAAGACTTAATAGAATATCAGCAATTAACAAGAAAATTGTTATTTTTATTGCATAGATAATTTTGAAAACCACAACAGAGTTTTATAAGTCGATGAAAGTGGAGCTCCTAATGAAGTTTATTACTATGTAGACACAACATACAACATGTATACACATATAATAAATATATATAAAATGTCAGACAAAAAAGCAGCTTCTGTAACAGCTTGTTTTTTTTTAAAGGTTTTATTTTATTTGAGAGGCAGAGTTACAGACAGAGATAGGGAGAGACAGAGAGAGATATCTTCTACCTGCTGGTTCACTCCCCAAATGGCTGTAATGGCCAGAGTTGGGCTGATCTGCAACCAGGAGCCTAGAGCTGCTTCTGGGTCCCTCACGTGGGTGCAGGGGCCCAAGCACTTGGGCCATCATCCACTGCTTTCCCAGATTGTCTGCAGGGAGCTGGATCAGAAGTGGAACAGCCGGAACACAGACTGGAACCCATATAGGATGCTGGTGCCACTGGTGGAGGCTTAAGCTACTATGCTACAGTGCCAGCCCAGATAACTTGTTTCTCAAAAATCTTTTTTTCTTTTCAAAATTACCATTAATTAGAATTATTTCTTGCTCTTAGTAGCCTTAATTAACCGTAATCTTTAGTAAAAAATTAGTAAGCAATTTTAAATTATCATATATCAACATTTCAGGGGAACCTGCAGGGGAAAATTATTACTTGAACATTTAGTTTGCAAAACAACTGTAATCACAGGAAAGGGGTTGAGCATGTTCTCATGTAAAGAAAATTATGTCTTAATTGCAGAGCCTTCAACTGGTATCCTGACAGTTAGTTAAATGGTTTTTGTGCATCATTCTTGTTACTCTTGTTCCCCATTCTCAGTTGTACCAGGGACTTCAGTGGGGGAATTTTAATAGGCTTAACTACTCCCCTAGGCCTCCTTATTATTTTTTTTAAGATTTATTTATTTGAAAGTCAGGATTACAGAGAGTGAGGGAGGGAGGGAAAAAGAGAGAGAGGAAGAGTGAAAGAGAGAGAGAATGAATCTTCCATCAACTGGTTCACGCCCCAGATGGCTGCAGTGGCTGGGGTTGGCCAGGACAAAGCTAGGAGCCAGGAATTTCATTCAGGTCTCCAACATGGGTGGCAGGACCCTATCTTGCCCTGCTTTTCCCAGGCCATCAGAAGTGAAGCAATCAGGACACTAACCAGTACCCATGTGAGATGCTGGCATTACAGGCAGCAGCTTTACCTGCTGCACCATAATAGTGGCCTCTCCTCATTCCTTAGATCCTACTACATACATTGTAGCAGCATTTGTGAACAGAGACAAGACATCAAGGCATTTAATACCTTGATTGATACCATATTTTGGCTATTGTGAACAGTCCTGCTATAAATATAGTGGTGTAGGTGTCTCTTTGATACAACAGGTTCATGAGATTGCTGGATCATACGGTAAGTCTAATTCTAGTTTTTTTTTTTTAAGTTGGATTTCCCATTATGAATAGTGCATTGTATCTCACCAGTTACCAGGTATGAGAACCTTGGAATTATCTTTGAGTTTCTCCTTGCTTTATACATTCAGTTCATTGTCAAAATCAGCTCATTTTTCTTTCAAAGTAATTATTATATCCATTTCTTTAATTTTATTCTCATTGCCTTCAAATTAGTTTAGATGCTAGCCTTTTGTGGCTGTCACTACAATGATCTTCTAAGTGGTATTTCAGATTTTTTCCTCATGTCTATGCCATCAGATTATCCTTCTTAAAAGATAGCCCATTTTCTCTCTATTGCCTATCAAATAAATGAAATAAAAGCTCCAATATCTCTATAACCCTGCACTGGTTTTTTTTTCCGTTGTTTTGTTTTGTTTTGTTTTGTTTTACTCTAACTTAATTTTCCTCTAATTCTCTTGTTTACCAAGTTTTAATCATCCAGGTCCTATGGTATGTCATAATTTTCTGAAAACAAACTATGTATTTTCTTCTCTTTTTTGAATATTTATTTAAAAAGCAAAGTGTCAGAGTGAGAAAGAGATATTGTGTCAGCTGGTTCACTTCCCAAATGGCTCTGATAATCAGGTCTAGGCTAGGCCAAAGTCAGGAGCCTGGGACTCATCCAGGTTTCCCATTTGGGTGGGCAGAGACCCAAGCACTTGAGCCCTCCTTTCCTGCTGCTTTGTCAGGTGCATTATGTGGGAGCTGGATTGGAAGCTGAGCAGCTGAGGCCAGAACCTGTGCTCCAGTGAGGGATGCCAGCATCATAGGTGGTGATTTAACCCACTGTGCCACAACTCTAGCCCAAACCTGTACTATTATTTTTTTTACTTAATATTTTTCTTTGTTGATTCACCTTGTTAGTCTTATCCTAATCTATAACTTCTACAAAATCATAGCCTTAATGAATTGTGTATACTTTTTTCTCTTGAATATTTACTTAGGTACTATTGAAAATCATCTCACCATTGGTGATCTGGGAAGTTCATTTTGGGGAAATTTGCCAAATACAGATTCTATGATCTACTTCTTGACCTTAGAACATAGTTTTCATGCTCTAAAATTTTTTTGAGGTAGAGGTCGGGCAGGAGATTGTTGTTATTTTTCTCCTAATTCCTTTCCCAGTCAGTTTAGCCAACAATAGTCAATGAGGATGGAAATAGTGGTAAGATACAGATCTTTCTTAAAGAGTTTACACTCTGGTAGATGAATTACTAATATAGCTAGCTAAAACATTATAAGTTATTTTGTTTCTGGAAGTTCTTCCTGTATTAATCCTATGCAAAGATATCTTCCTCTTATACTTTTGTGTATTTCATTTATTGATCTGCTTCATTTATTTGATTCTTGCCACTTCTCATATATAAAAACCATTATTTTACTCTTCTCATTTTTGTTCATGTTTATCTTCTTTTGTTTTATAAAATATTTATTTGAAAGACACAGTCTCACTCACACATACAGGGAGAGGGAGGAGGGGGGGCAGATGAAGAAGGAGAAAGGGAGGGAGAGTGAGATATTTTCCTATCTGTTAGTTCAGTCTGCAAATGGCCGCAATGGCTCAGATTGGGCCGGGCTGAAGCCAGGAGCTCAGAACTCTGTCTGGGTTTCTCACTTGTGTGGTAGCAGCCCAAGTAATTGGGCCATCATCTGTCGCTTTTCCAAGTGCATTAGTAGGGAGATGAATCAGAAGAGGAGTAGTGAGAACTGGAACAGGCACTCCTATATGGGATGCTGGAATTGGAAGCAATGGCTTAACATAGTGAGCCACAATACTGGCTGCTATGTTTATCTTATGATGATGAAAATATTTTTACATTCTTTTATGAGTGTTGTACTGAGTAGGAGCTAAGTAATATGACAGGGTTAGACAGGGAAATATCATATTTCATAAAAATAACAACATTTTTATTGGTTTTATGTCACAAAATTTTATTTTCCTTACAATGATGCCTCATGAATATAAAGTTTGAAAAAACATTTGGAAGCTAAATCTTGCGACAGAGGTAACTAAAAAAATGAAAATTATGAAGGACCTTCTGTCAGACCGTAAACAAAGGAGCAGTGATTTTTGACTAAAGATAATGTAAGGGGTTATTATTTTAATTTGTACCACTGATGACTGGGGTGTCCAAGTTGTATTATTTATGTCTATTGTTTGTTTATAAAAGGCGATGCTATTGTTTTTCTTCAGTGTGACCTCTTATCACTGGCTCATTCTCTTCCCAGCATCTTTCTGGTCTATTTCCTTCATGTCCTATTTACCCACTATTATTTCACCCATTTTTTTCATAGATTCCTTTCATACTTTTGTTCTCCTTCAACTCCCTTCTTGTATTCATCTTCCTTCTTGCCTTTTCCTACTTGTCTTCATCTCCCTCCTTGTCATCTTCTTTCTTGTCCTTGTCTTTATCTTCCTTTGTGTCCTTGTTCTCCGTATCATCTTCTCTCTTGTCTTCATCACCCTTATCCTTGTCTGCATCCTCTTTGCTCTCCTTGTCTTCCTGTCCCTTTCTAACCTCGTCCTTATCCTCATTCTTGTCCTTGTTTTCATTTTCCTTATCCTTATCCTCAACCTCCTTGTTCTCTTTGTCTTCCTGTCCCTTCCTAACCTCATCCTCATCCTCCTTCTGGTTCTTGCCCTCCTTGTCTTCATCTCCCTTTTCCTTGTTCTCATTCTTCTTATTCTCTTGGTCCTCCTTGTCTTCATCTCCATCGTTGTCTTCTTCTCTCTCCTTATGTTCTCCCTTCTCGTCCTTGTCTTTATCTCCCTTCACGTCCTTGTCATCCATGCCTTTTTCCTGCTCCTTGTCTTCATGTCCCTGCCTGTCCTTGTCCTCATCCTCATCCTTGTCCTCCTTGTCTTCACCTTCTTTATCCTTGTCCTCATTCTTCTTGTTCTCTTTGTCCTCATTGTCTTCATCTTTGTCTTCTCTCTCCTTATGTTCTCCCTTCTTGTCTGTATCTTCCTTCATGTCCTTGTCCTTGTTGTCTTGTTGCTCCTTGTCTTCATACCTCTTCTTGTCCTTGTCCTTCTTTTTATTTTCCTCCTTGTCTTCATCTCCCTCTTTGTCTTCTCCCTTCTTGTTTTTACCCTCCGTCATGTCCTCATCTTTCTGTCCCATATTGTCCTCATCCTTCTTCTTGTCCTGGTCCTCCATGTCTTTGTCTCCCTCCTTGTCCTTGCTGTCCTTGTTCTCATATCCTTTCTTATCCTTATCTTCATCTCCTTTCTTGTCTTCACTTTCTTTTGTGTCCTTGTCTTTGGTATCTTCATATCCCTTCTTGTATTTAAACCCCTTGTCTTTGTCTTCCATCTTCTTCATGCCTATCTTTTGTTCCCTTTTTTCCTTATTTTCTTTCCTTGATTGGCCATTCTCCACCTTCTTTTCCTTGTTCCTGTTCTTAGTATATTTCTTTCTGTCTGCTTTTTTTCTCTTTTCTTTTTCACTCAGAGTTTTCATGGGAAGCTCTTCAACTTTCATTCCAGTTTTCTGATTTTGTTTCTTTTCATAGGTCTCAGCAAGGCCACTTAATTCTTTCTTATGCTGATATTTAGGACAAATTTGACTGCATGGTGATGAGACTACTTGAATTCTCAAATCAATTTCTTGTTTTGGAATAGTTTTCCTTGCTTCTGTAGTGTCACTTTTTATTTCTGCTTTTGAATCTTCTCTCATATTACCTGAAAATATAATAAAGCATACATTAAAGTGTATAATTTATATCTTAACTGTAATTTCTCTCCATTGTCACCTCTTTATTGTCACAATTTTGCAATAAGTTTGGGACAATAATCTTGCTTTCCTTATAATATAAAGTATATGAAGCTGCATATATATATATATATATATACAGAATTAGGTAGAATATTCTTGAACTACAGACTCTTTTCATGAGATATAATTTAGAAAAAGAAAAATACAACAAAAAGAATTATTAGTAGAATATGGCTAGAGTTGATGCATGATTAAAATTAATAGAAGATATAGACTTTTGAAAAAGACATTTTTTTCTGAGAAAATTATATTGTTATACAATGTTTGTGATTCCTTAAAGCACTTCACCTTCCTGAGTGATAAAGAAATTACTAAATTAGTCCTTATTTTAAGGGACAAAAAAGCTAAAACTTTTCTTATTTATTTCACAAGTTTTCATGGAGTTGCATTAGAAGTGACTTAGTGGTAGAAACAGCATCAGAAAAACAGATGGTCCTTGTAATATCTGTGCTAATCATAGGAATATCTCTTGCATTGTGATATGTAAAAATTAAAATTACTCTTTTTTTAAATAGGAGAGATTGCTTGTTGAAATCAGATTAGTTACATTTAATTTTTATTTCACCTTTTAATTGATATAGAGTGTTAGCTTTCATCATGTTTTGATGCTCTTTTTGTTATTTACTATAGCGCAAATTGGACCAGTAGTTATAATGGAATGTGATTAAAATTATAATTTAAATTGGTAATGAGAGCTAAGAGTCTCACCATGTTGGGGTAGGTTAAGAGTTTTAAAGAGAGTTCAAGTTGTTGTACAGTGGCTTTTCTTGATAAGAGTCACAGGTATCTAGCACTGGTCACCTTGATTTATTCAGGTGGCCCTTCCCACCTGTGGATGACATACTCTATAAGTGATTCTTTCCCTTTGATTGGAGTATAGTGGTCATTTTGTGCTTGGATGTTACTTTTTTGGTAAGGAGCATCCTCATTTTTATTTCCCTTATTTATATATTTTATTAGTGTAAGAAAATTACCATTTGGGAACTGGAATATACAGCAACTTGGAAATTGTGGGAATGAATGTAAAACAATTCATAAAGTAACTTTGAAATTGTATTGAAGGTAGAGTTGGAGGAGGATCACTATGAACAACATCTTCAACAAGGTTTCTATATGGAATATGGGCCTTGTGGAATGGGTTTATTTCTTGTTTTGAGGAGACTTGTGAGACAAAATTCTGGATAACAGACAGATTATTATGTGAGGATTTAAAAAATGTTTGGGTTCTATTACTTATTATATGAACTTTGCCAAAAATACTGTGAGGACAAAATGAGATAAAATGTATCAGTATGCTATAAAAATTGTTAAAGTAGTATATGGCAAATATTTGGGGTTTACTTTTTTTTTTGACAGATAGAGTTAGACAGAGTGAGAGACAGAGAGAAAGGTTTTCCTTCTGTTGGTTCATCCCCCAAATGGCCGCCAGGGCTGGAGCTTCGCCGATCCGAAGCCAGGAGCTGGGTGCTTCTTCCTGGTCTCCCACGTGGGTGCAGGCATCCAAGCACTTGGCCATCCTCCACTGCCTACCCAGGCCACAGCAGAGAGCTGGACTGGAAGAGGAGCAATTGGGACTAGAACCCGGCACCCATGAGGGATGCCAGTCCTGCAGGTGGAGGATTAACCAAGTGAGCCACGGCGCTGGCCCCTGGGGTTTACTTTTTTAAAAAGAGAATTTATTAATACTTCGATTCTCAGGGTCATAGCAAATGCATGATAACTAATACAATGGAGTTTTCATCAATTCTAATGCTAATGTGATATTAATACAAAGAGAATAGAGTCATGTAGTTCATAGGTAAAATTCTAAATATTTTCCTTCCTTTCTTTCTTCTTCCTACCTCTGTTTTTCTTTCCCTCCCTCCCTCAATTCCTTCCTTCCTGCCTTCCTGCCTTCCTTCCTTCCTTCTCTCTCTTTCCTTTACTCTCTTTTTCCACCCTCCCTTCTCTCCTTCCTTAATTTTTGAGGTAACATTTAAAACATTTATATTTTAGTCAAAGGCATAATTTTGCACTAAGTAAGTGTTCAACAAATTAAAAGTAAAGATATTCAGGGGGAATATTGGCAAGGGCTATAAATAGTAATCAAATGAAAAGATGTCCATTTCACTCTTAACTAGTAAATTTTAAATTTTGACAAATCATTAAAAATATAGTAGTATGTCACTGTTAACCACTGGTTTGACAAAGATATGAAACAGAGTATGATAAAGCAGTGTTTGCAGCAGTACTGATACACACAAGCATTTCTTTTGTTGGTTTTCAATTTTTTTCAAAAAGAAATTTTACTTTAAAATGAAATTATCATAGTAGTCTTACATTTAACAATATTTCATGGTTAAAATACATTAACTGTTAGAAATTAAAAATTGTAGTTCAATGAATTAATATCACCTAACTATCCAGACTACTGAAAGCAATTTACAGATTCAGTGTGATCCTAGTCAAGATACCAATGACATTCTTCTCAGATATAGAAAAAATAATCAAAATTCATACAGAACACTAGACACTCTGAATAGCTACAGCAATGTTAAATAAAAAAAGCAAAGCCAGAGGCATTACAAGATCAGACTTGAAGACATACTACTGAGAAGTAGTTGTAAGCAAAATAGCCTGATACTACACAAAAATAGACATATAGACCAATGGAACAGAATAGAAACCCCAGAATTATTCCATGCATCTACAACCTAGACGTTGATGAAGGAGCTAAAGTCAATTCCCTGGGAAAGGATAGTCTCTCTCTCTCTCTCTCTCTTCAACAAATGGTTCTGGGAAAATTGGATCTTTACATGAAGATGTATGAAACAAAGCTCTTCGGCCAGCACCACGGTTCACTAGGCTAATCCTCTGCCTGCGGCACCAGCACCCGGGTTTTAGTCCCAGTTGGGGTGCCGGGTTCTGTCCCGGTTGCTCCTCTTCCAGTCCAGCTCTCTGCTGTGGCCCAGAAGGCAGTGGAGGATGGCCCAAGTGCTTGGGCCCTGCACCCGCATGGGAGACCAGGAAGAAGCTCCTGGCTCCTGGCTTCGGATCGGCGCATCGTGCTGGCCGTAGCAGCCATTTGAGGGGTGAACCAACAGAAGGAAGACCTTTCTCTCTGTCTCTCTCCTTGTCTAACTCTGCCTGTCAAAAAAGAAAAAGAACCAAAGCTCTTACCTTATACCTTATGCAAGTGGTATAAGTGGATCCAGGATCTACATCTATGATCTGATATCATCAAATTACTAGGGAAAACTCTGCAAGACATTGACATAGGCAAATATTTCTTAGAAGACCCCAGACGCACAGAAAACAAAGACAAAAGGAGACAGATGAGTACATCAAGCTAAGAAACTTCTATCTGCCTGCAAAAGAGACACTCAGAAAAGTGAAGAGGCAACTGACAGAATGGGAGCCAATATTTGCAAACTATGCAACTGATAAAAGATTAAAATCCAGGAGCTCAGGAGACACAACAACAAAAAAAACAAAGAATCCAGTTAAGAAATGAAAAAAAAAAAAAAAAGGACACAAACAGGCATTATTCAAAGGCTGAAATACAAATGGTCAGCAGATACAAGAAAAAATTCTCAGTAGTCATCTTGGGATTTTTATTTTTAACATACTGAGAAAACACAATTTGGCCTTTGCATTGAATTACATGATTTAGAAAATTTTTTTAAAGATTTATTTATTTATTTGAAAGACAGAGTTATACAGAGAGAGGATAGGCAGAGAGAGAGAGAGAGGTCTTCCATCCGATGGTTTACTCTCCAGATGGCTGCAATGCCTGGAGCTCTGCTGATCTAAATCCAGGAGCCAGGAGACTCTTCCAGGTCTCCCACGTGGGTACAGGGGCCCAAGGACTTGGGCCATCTTCTACAGCTTTCCCAGGCCAGGAGCAGAGAGCTGGATCAGAAGAGGAGCAGCCGGGACTAGAATTGGGGCCCATATGGGATGCCAGTGCTCCAGGCCAAGGCGTTAACCCGCTGAGCCACAGTGCCAGCCCCGATTTTTAAAATTTCTTGTGTTCCATTTTCTTGGTTTACATCTTTGTTTTTGTGGTGAGCATTTCTAGTTTCTTCTTGAGAAGGACACTAAGAATCGGAGAACTCAGAGGGCTTCCATAGCCTTGGAAACTCATGACTGGAGCATAGGGAGATTACTGATGCCACAGACAGGAGTGTCAATTGGTAAAGTCAACAACAGGAGTCACTGTGCACTTACTCCTCATGTAGGATCTCTGTCCTTAATGTGCTGTGCATTGAGATTTAATGCTATAACGAGTACTCAAACAATATATTTCACTTTGTGTTTCTATGGGGGTGCAAACTGTTGAAATCTTTACTTAATGCATACTAAACTGATCTTCTGTAAAAAAAAAAAAAAAAAAGAAAGAAAAGAAAAGAAACTATCAACTCCCAACTTGACTCTCACTGGGATTAAACATGACAATAGGTCTGATCTGATTTCATCATCATTAAAAAAAAATCATCTATTATTTTTCACTTTATGTTTCTGTGTGGGAGCAAACTGTTGAAATCCTTACTTAATGTATACTAAGCTGATCTTCTGTATATTAAGATAATCGAAAATGAATCTTGATGTGAATGGAAGGGGAGAGGGAGCGGGAAAGGGGAGGGTTGTGGGTGGGAGGGAAGGTATGGGGGGGAAGCCATTGTAATCCATTATTCGTACTTTGGAAACTTATATTCATTAAATAAATTAAAAAAAAAAGTAAAAAAAAAAAAAGAGAAGGACACATGGGAGATGAAACTTTTGTGATTTTCTGCTTATGAAAGTAGCCACATTTGATCTTCACATTTGTTTGATAGAATTTTAGAAGATAACATAATTCTATCTATTGAGAGTCTTTCTGTTAGAATTTTTAAGCAATATTCTATTTTTTCTAATTTTATTTGTT